AAAGAAAAAAAAAAATCAGTAGGAAGAATACTACATTTTAACAGCTAGACTCGCTTTTCCTGTCTTATTTGCTTGGTTTATCTACTTCTAACTATAATATTTCCAAATGCTCAGAGAAATCATCTTCCTTGTCTCCTTTTTGCTAACTGCGCCCAAGCTAATTAAAAAGGCACCCCCCCCCCCCCCCCCCCCCCCCTCACAATCAATTTAAGGCCAATATCGGTTTCTCTGTCTGTCACTTCTACAAACCCTAATAGTCCTAACACTTTCAAAGATTAATTTGTTCAGACTGGGACATCCTACCCCAAGTCTTATGCACATGTGACTTGAAAAGTATACCAGGAAAAAGTGGAAAAGACCATAACGGCAACGCGTGCCGAGTACAACTTTACTTATTTTGACTATAAGTTAAAAGATGTTTTTAAATGAATGGTGATTGTTAAGACGACTTTCATTTATTCCGTCATTTCTATGAACTCAGATATGAAAGCGCACAGATATTAAAGGCAGGAAAGGAAGATCACAAGCTTGCATTGCAACTACTGAACAACAGATCTGGACAACGCACTACGTAAAGGAATAAAAGCCTAGACAGCAAAGGTAGGTAGTCTATGTGGTTAAAGCCTCCGAGATTTTCCTATTAATTTGAACAGAATGAAGTTTTAACGTCTGAATTCTAAATGACTACCGTTCCCGAAATGTAATACATTGCAGTTCAGCTGCAGTATAATCCAGAGAGTTACTGTTCAGCCAGATTCAGCAATACATAGCCAAATGTTTTATCAGCAGTGAAAGGGAACTTTTCTGTATAGCCTGCTGCTGCCTGGAGTGGTTGTTACTGAACAGAGCTGTGAATAATGAACAGTCAGACTTTCTGGGGCTGACCTTAACTGCAGCTCATCTAGGATTACTTTAATGCAGTGATGTTTAATCTCTACTCTGTAGGCTCATAAAGGTTCAAAAGCAGTTATTTTAACAGGTCTGGGACAGTCTTAATGTCTCTACTCTTAATGATTTCATATGAAATTTTAGCCATTCAATGGACTCTGAGAGATAGCTCCAACACAAACCTCACTCAGATCATTCAGTAGACTGGACCAAGGCTGCCCATGAAGCCAAAAGCAGGAAAGCAAAGACCAGAACTCCTGCCAGAAATGCTGAACACAGTCAGTTGATCAGGTGCCATTCTAGAATTACACAGACATTCAAAACCACATACAGCTGTGTGTTGCTTTAAGCTTACAAGCCTTTTAAAAGTTATTGACACAACTCGCACCTGAGATTCTTTTCTTGATCCATGTTCCTCTAAGTTTATCATGAATTTCCAACTTACTCTGAGCATTCCTATGGAAGTCAAAAAATGAGAGGTGGAAAGACTGTTCAAGAAAGCAAAGTAGTTCCTGCTATCCTTAATAAGATTTGGACATCAGCTGCAGGAATTCAGGATGGGATTCCGTAGCATTAGAACAATAATGTGAATACGTTTAAGTGCTCATGTTCCTATTGATATACATTTACAGAAACTATAGGTCTCAGTACAGCACCTTGAGAGAAATGTAGCACTAGTGCTGATCAAGTATTCTACATACCTCTCTGCTGGGGCCATTTCCTGCAACAAATTTCCCGTTGCTTTTAATACTGCAAAAAATGAATCACATCCAAGAGAGGGATCCTTTCTAAAATCCCAAAATTAAAAGGCCCACAACTTTTTTTACCGGAGCGGACGTTATATTTATTCCCTAATGTACCTGTCCTCTCCATTCTTACTAGGGAAAGCAGCGGCCAGTTTTAAGCCAATGCTAAGTGATACTATCAGTTTGGTCTTTTCAATTCATTCTGACATTTATTCTGAAATTCATCTATAACATTGCTGTGATCCAGATTTAACGTGGAATAAAAATATCACCAACTATCACAAATGGATAACATTTCTATGATTATAAAACTTTCAGAGGTTTAGCAAGATGCAGCAATAACGCATTTTAGGATTAAGTACAGTTCACTGAGCAGACAACATAAATTATGAATGATACTCCAAATCTAATGTGTTATTACTTCGAGAGCTGAATATGACTTAGATCCATATAATGATGTCTTAGGCTGTTACAGAAGAGAAAGCTGTACTATATTTGATATTTTTAAGCATGGAAAAGAAAGATGAAGTGCTATTGCTAGAGCAGCAAAAAACATTGGAGCTTGAGAACAGCTTAAAGTCGTCCCAGGGTTCATTCTCAATGCTATCCCACTCTGACATTTCCTGAATTATCTAAATATTTGTGTGAGTGTTACTTCTGAGATTCAGCATGTTCCCAGAAAACAATGCTAGAAGCACATAAATTTTCAGTAAAAGGGCAGGCAGTCTGAAGGTGCACTCTGATTTATGCACTTGCCCACAGAACTGCAGCATGGGTCAGACTCTAAAGAGTAGCGTACTGGATTTTTGTCTTTTATGGCTCCTGCTGTGCAGTCATTATCACCAGACCTTTCTAGATAAATACTATGTCACGATTATATTCATAAATCAGCAAATATTTTGGTAGAGAGAAAAATACTATGCACAGATATTTTGTGCACAGTTCTTTGAGATATCCAGCTGAGGTATATAGAAGTAGGTTACGTAATGGCATGGATGTACTGCTGCTTTCTCCTCCCACAGCCCACTTCCCTTCTATTGCTCCCCTGCTACTCCCTCCATGTTTTGCTCAACTATAGTGACTTCTCTTTGCACAAGGACTGTATCTTTCTGACTGGGTCACCTGTCAGGGTCATTTGTGCATTCATGCACAAAAAGGTCATAAGGAATGGAATGGATCCATGTGAAACCAAGAGACGGGAAAGGAAGAGAATTATGTTAATCCCCGTGGACCAAAGTGGAAAAAAAAAAAAAACGAACCCTAGCTATCTCCTCGCTTCCCAGGAATGCCCTTCTCCTGTGTCAGCTCTCACATTGACTAGAATGTGATTTTTGACAACTTTATGCTAGAAAAGGTGTGAGCTAATTGGTAGGAAGTACTTTGAGGTGACTATATATCAGACCTATTATAAATTAGGACTACCTCCTGCTCTGACAGTTTTGATAGATCCCATGAACGATATGCTTGAACTCCAGAGATAATTTTTCAACCTTAGAGATTAATCAATGAAGAGGTACTAACAGCTACAGAACGGTCAACCTACAAGAACAGAGCAATATTAAAAGGAAGTGACACAGATGACAAATTAGAGCTTCGAACTGAATAGGTGAGAATGTCAGTACGTCAAGCTGCCCAAAGAATATCACAAAGCCAAGGTGCCATTGACTTATCTGGATTGACTGAGTTTTCTTCCCCCCCACCCCCCCACCCCCCATCTAAAGTTTATTAAAATTCTACTCAGATTGCCTTTATTTTCCCCCTTTCAGCCTTTCAACTTACACTCTTGCAACCTTACTGATTCCTCTAATCAGTTTCATATTTACCTGAAACTGCTTGGGAGACTCCAAATAATTCAGTGAAGATGGAGACAAGAAAAGAAACACAGGTATACACAGGTCAAATTATTACCGAAGACTACTATCTATAAGAAATATGGATTAAAAAAAAATAGTCTTTTAAAAATACAATTCTTTAACTCATTTCAGAGATTTGAATGAATTAAAATGAAGTTGACTTCTAACTATTAATGCTGAAGGCTATTAACTCAATATTACAGTTTGATTTAGTGTAATAATTGAAAACAATTAAGTTACTTAATGAGACAAGTGCATAATTCTCTTCCATGAGTATAGCACCATTTAGCAAAATAAACTTTCAAAGTCCTTTATTCACCTTTTCTTAGGTTACAAGTTTATTTACATACAAATTGGTTGTGACAGTCATGCTTGCAGATCTGATTGTCATATATTATGTTCATTTCACTCCACCTGCATTAGATTCCTTGATTTATGTGGAACAGAGAACAAAATTACAAAAATATAATCAATTGTCCATTCTGCAGAGTAACAGGAGGCTGGGAACACCCAGTTAACACGCGTACTATGAAATAAGTTGAAGAACTTTCCAGGGCTAGTGATAAGTTAGATCCAGTTATCCTTTTCAGTGACAAAGCCAGTGAAATATTTTTGTGCCAGATTCTCTGCTGTTCCCGACTCTAGAAATACGGTGCTGGAAAAGCTGAGCTGGCTCCAAATGAAAACAGCTAAATTATTTCCAGAGGTGAAATGGCCCTAGAAATGGCATAGCCATGAAGTACCTGAGCTAACAAACCACGCTGATTCCAGTTGGCTCTGCACAGGGTCAAAACACCCTCTTTGCAACCATGATTGATTAAATAATAACCCAAATATTCTGCCCATTTGTAATCCAGAGCTCACCGTACACGAATTACAAAAATATTTTTGTATCTACTTATTACAATTACACTGGCTTACGAAACACCAGGTTATTTAGTCTTGGATGTATGACAAGCAAGTGCTGATGGTCCAAGGTGGCTTATTAGCCTGAGGCAATGTGACATATGTTCTTGATTCAGATGATGTACTATCGATCTACATTTGCATAACTCCCACATTTAGACTGGCCCTTATCTTGCCTTGGTTCGACATACAATACCCCCAGAACCGTCACAGCTTGGTAACATAAACTTTAGCCGGGATCTAATCATAAATCTAACACCATTAAAAGACTGTAATTCTTTGTTTTGATAGCAACAGTCATCTGTCTTTGCCCAGTGAAATGTGTGTGAAATTACCATGGAACGGCAGAAAATCCATTTTAGTTGTTATTTGACATCACCATCTAGTCTCATAAAAGAAAGTGAAGATGTCAATCAGTTATATTTCCATAAAAAAGCTAATACCGTTTTGAAACCTTGCAAGTGCTTCCACAGAAAGAACCCGATTATGTCCTATCAATATTGGTTCTGTGACATATAGCACAACACAATGCATCTAAACACCTGTAGATATATCAGTCTGTTAAAAACAGTAATTAAAGAAATGAAGGGGGCTATGGCATACTTACCGGGCTTTACAAGGCTTGTCTTTGTCTCCTTCTTATACCGAGCCACCTGCAGGTTTCCTTCGCTCATTGTCCCTGCATGAAATTTCTTTCTAGTGAAGTCTCCATCGCTACCAGTGCAAAAACTGATTGGACTGTTTCCAGCATCAGAAGGAGTCTTAACTGGAGATACTGACTGGCTACTAGGACAACCAGTGTCATCTGAAAAGAAAAGGGAAAACATCAAAATTTCTAACTAGGAAATACATGAAGCTGGTAGAATAAGAAAAAGGGTCTGGGCTATAACCCTTCACAAGCAGAAACACTTATCCGATCTACCTAACTGTGACTCTGAAACTTGATGGGGCCCTCATTTATATCAGTTTCTCCCATTTTGTGAAAAAGTGCCCGATATCTTATGGCAGACTAAAATGGCAAATGCCTGTTTCAGTAAGTTCGACAAAGTGCAAAATCACAGGCCGGATAGTGAAAACTGAGATCTAAGGCAAACTCTTGACTTACCAAGGTAAGGGAATATTATGGCATGAAAGTTAAGAAATACACATAAGAATAACCTGCGTCACTGTGTGCATACTGGACAAAAAGCAAGCACGGGTCACGTACTTTCCTTTTAAGATAGGCTCCTATCTGAACCATGATAGAACAATCTACACTCTATCTGCATATAGTGAAGATTTTTATTTAACAAACTAATAAAGGTTTCTTAAAATTGTTTTTTCTTTCAAAGAAAATGTGATCACAGAAGTCTTTCATTCATAACAAGGGGATGTATGTTACCTAGTTCTAAAAAGGATATACTATGCACTGTTTTTGTTTAAAGTGGAATTATTTTGGGTAAACACCAGTGCTATATTATATCAGCATTCGTCTTTCGGAAGAAATCATAATTTCTAAGCTTCAGGACTACAAACATTCAAACTCCTGATAATGAAATAAAAAGTACAAAGTCAGAGGCAAGATAAAACCCACATACCAAAAGTAACTTCATCTAAATCCCTCCAGAGTAATCATATCTTCCGTAATAGTCACGGTGGTTTTGAAGATGCATAATAAAAAACAAGCAAGCTACCCTGACACTGGGAAGCCCTGAATATTTACTCTCCCGGAGAAATGTAATTGTTTATTCTTTCCCAGGACTAAGCGGAAGCCACTATCTTAATTATACAGTTGTACTCTGTTCTCAGGATCTTTACATAACATGAAACTCCCAAGTACCTGCAACTGAACCAAATAATTTGGATGACCGTATTTCACTTACCACTTCCATCCTATTCATAATCCAGTTCAAGCCTGATCTTGCAACGAGCTTTGCAGATAGCCTGAAGTCAGTATACGGCTCTAGCTCTGAGGTAAAAGGACACTCCTTTTGCTATTAACTGTTGCTCCCTCAATACAATTAAACCACCTCATCTTTTCATGAGAAATAGTTTTTTCCTGGTTACCCTACCTTACCAAATGCTCTCATAGCTCCACCTATTTGTTCCTATGACTGCCTTCTGCTGCTCGTTTCTCCATACTCTTCCTCTAATTCTCAGCAAATTATCTAAAAGTGCTGATTAGCCAATGTGGGTTATACACATGAGTATATAATAGTAACCAGTACTTCTACTGAGGCTTGTGCAAACTTACAGAAATGATGTTAAGCCAAGAGGGTAGCCAAAGCTACTCTAAGAATTACCTCCAGGGCACAAAGGCAAATAACGGTGCAAAGCACGTAATCCAACTTAATCATATTTGATTCCTTCAGCTCAATTAAGCCTGCAACGATCTCCTTTTGACATGTTGTTGCTATTCTGCAACTCAGAATTAGTTTCTTAGTTTCTTGAAAAACAATGGGGAAGGCAAGACTGCTACTAAGAAAAAAAGTGCATGTTCCTGGAGTTCACTTTTTCATGTGACCTTTCTGTATGTGGTATTACTTTCAAAACTTTGTGTTAAAAAAAATATATATATAGACCAGAAATTATTTACTTCGTGTCTCCACCAATAAAGTCACTGCAATAGCCAGACAGGTTCTGCTGACCTTACAGATGCATTTTATATGGGAGATTCTACGTACAAATAACTCCAAAAGCTACAGGGATTCTATTTGGAAGAACCTCAGGAGCTGATAAAACCTTGTTAAAAAGGGTTAGTTAGAAACAACGAAAATCTAAACTGCAGCTTTAGGAATTAGGGCATTAAAAACAAATACGTGAAAACAATTGAGATAAGAAAATACAGTAGCAAAATAAAGCAATCAAAAACAAATATTTTAATTACCAGTTAACATTTCCTCTGATATCACACTGATGATATTGTATGATCAGATTACATCAAATATACATATGCACATACTATATATATATGTATATATCCACATTGCATGCTTAAGGACTGCAGCTTTCGTTGCAACAGGGCATTTATTAAGGGAATAAAATGAACCTGGAATAAAGAACAATAGGTCTTCTCTACTATCATTTGTGACCTTTAGACACGCCAATAACCAGCCAAGTATTTCCACTCCAGCTGAAGTAAATGAATGATTTTAGTGTACTCCTCTTTCCTCTGATCATTTGTTACTTTTAATATAACGTATAGTTTCTTCTACGTGACATTAACCAGAAATATAAACAAATTCTCTAAATCTAGGGCATGCTGCCAAATAAACATTTTATCATGCCTGCCAATACCAGCTTTTTGCGGTGCCTTTTGAAGAAACAAAAGGCTTACCTCTACACGAAAGGAAGAGCTGCATAACAAAAACCACAGCTCATCACCAAGGGTAAGAAAACCTCTGCTGTAAACTGGAGGGATACACCTCTCTATCAACTTGCAACTGACCCCTCTGTTACAAGAAAAAATAACGGTAAACACTACGGTGCCACCCAACTGTTCAATGGCGAGTTAAACTGCCAGCACTTGTCTTCATTTTTTTCCCTACTACTGAAGCCTTAAAGGGTTATTTACTTATCTAAACTTTTAATACGGCAGCTGAATTCCCTGCAGAACAGCAGCAGATAAAAACTCCATGCAACGCTTCCTCCTCTGGAAAGGGTGAGCCTCACTGCACATCAAACTGATAGAGCCAACTTCCATCCTACACATGGGCTTAGATAACCAGGCTTAAAAAGGGCTCGATGTTAAACTGCTCGCTGCCAAAGCATGCAACACTTCTTTCACTAGAGAAGGAATGTAACTAAGACAGTTCGAGTTTAGCATTTGCCACATATATACACACATATATATACACACACACATATATATGGGGTCCTCCAAAACTCGAACGTTGAAAGAGGTGAAAATGTCAAACTGCCTAGAAATAGGTCAAGGTAAGGAATCTACTTCCAAAGCTGGCAGTGGGGAACAGAAGCAGATGAGCCCCAAAAGGAATTTACCTTCTGCTGAACACATGAATGTAGTTTTCAGTATGGTCAGATAAGGACTTAGCCTTATAATTATGCCCCAGTAAGGATGTCAGGCAAAGACTTCTCACAATTTATATATATATGTGACTTACTTCCACAGGCATATGGGCATTAGGAAGATAGCAGAGAGAAAGCTGGCAAAATCTGCTATGAAAGTCACTGCTTCTGATCTTCCTGTATGATTTAGTTGACAAACAGAGATAAAATAAGTAAATAACATACAACTTCCATCTCTTCCTTAGCTGTATTCACGACGTTTTCTTTCACGCTGGCCTTCTAAGGCGGCTCTGGAACTGGATTTGCACTTTGAACATCAGCTGGATTTCATCACTGAAACTCTATGTCTAACCCCTCTCCCAGATCAGATACACTTGCCAAAAGTGTATTTCAAGGCCAAGTATGGGAGAGTGTCTTGTCACACAAACAGGATCAGATAGGAAAGTTGCTCAGAGTACTGTGACATTTGTATTCATAGACTAACTTTCAAATATTCAAGTCAAAGAATAAACAGTTTCAAAGGTAGTGACACTCTAACCATATAATTCATAGACTTTAAGGTCGTAAGTGGTGACATGATAATCTCTGATTTTCCCTGCACAGAGGTTTTAGAATATATACTAGAATATGCCTTAGAGCCCTCTTCAGAAAAACACTGCCTTTTTATCCTGAAGACTTCAAGTAATATTGAATATACAACCTCCTTCCTCGGTCCATCCAAAAAATTAGTTATGCTGTCTCTCATTTCTACTTTCACTCTTACCTGCCAGATTTAGTTGTGCACTTTTATGAGTTTGAACTGTTCGTTCCCTAAATGATCTCTTTTCTGTTGTCACATTTTTGTCTTTCCTTGGTCAATGTTTAAACTACATGTAATTTGTACTTCCTCTATGAAATGTGGATTCCAGAATTGAACACAGAATTCTAGTAGAGGCCTTATGAATTCAGTGTACTAAGGCAAAAATAACTTCCCTACTTTTACCTGAAATTTCCCTTTCTCTACCTCCTAGTCTTTGTAGTCACGGCTCTGCACGGATGGCATACTGTCTTTATTTACAGTGAACCATCAGGTGTATTTCAGAACCTTCCAGGATAATCTCCCATTCTGCCAGACTACTCAGCATTTTTTAAACCCATAAATGTTGCTTTGGGCTTCCTTTCATGAATGTTCCTGTAAGAGAGGAGCAAGTTATGCGTTAATGAAAGTCGCTGACAGACACCAAAGGGAATGTATCACCTAAATTCTGTATGAAATTGAGAGAAACAGGCTCCTCTAGAGGATGAGTCAGAAATAAAGCCTTAAAGCCTATTTTAGGCTTCGCCAGAGAAGCCAAGTCATCCCACTGTTCTGAATCACTGTCTGGAAGATCTCGGCTCCCTCCATTGACTGTGTAAGGAGCCTAGAGTAACTAACATTCTCATTTAGGCAGCTACATCAGTAAGGCGTAAGGGTTCACCCCTAAGCTGAAAAACATCATTAATTGTAAAAATCACAGTTTCATTCTGGAACAACTGGATAACCCCGAGGACCAGAGTAAAAGAGACAGGATGAAGTATAAAGTGAAAGGCCAAATATAAAAAGGCAGAGTTGGGGTATATTCACATTCACAACATTAAGCTCCAAGCAGGTAGGAATCCAATGCCTGTCTAATCAAGACACTCCGAATCGCGTTCTGGAGGCGCCCACATCCACCCACGGACAATTTAGGGAGCATAAATTAAGTGTGATATTCTCCTCAATTTTTATTTGTACTAAAACAGCTCATTTTTATTGCAGCCATTCCAATAGGTGAGTTTAGCTACTCCATAAGATTAGTCATCC